AGCAAAACAATCTTATTATTTATATTCTTGACAAAAACACCGGTTATATTTGGTCCTTAATTTAATATTCGAATGAACAAAAGATTTTGCTTTCAGCGTCTGAAATGAACTCGATTAGAAATCAAAAATCAAGAAGATTAGGGGGAAAAAGATTGCGATCATAACCAGATGAGGTTGGACAACGCCGTAATCTAGTCTCCAAAGCATGAAACATGTACATGCATGCTCGTATATTCTTCTGTTGTTTCGCTTTAATTATTTTAACCGCTGAAAAATGTCATCTCCTGGCATAATTTTGAAGGTACCATGGAAAATGTGTTGCGGTTTTCAAAAATGCAAAACCATGAATACAAATGTGACATTTTCTCAAAAAAAAAAAAAAACTCGAATACGCGTGGCGACGTGGAACTACTTCCTTCTTTAAAATATCAACATATAAATGTCCACTTAGATATTCTATTATACAACCAGGCATAAAAAAGAGACATAGCTTTATATTTCGCCGACCGCCTTGGTAAATCAATTATTGATCGGCCGGTGTTATTATAAAGTTATATATGAAAGAGTCAGTTGCTTACAACTGCGGTCAAATCGCATAATTACAAAGCTGAATTTCTGCGAACATCTGACGACAAAAGCGAAGCTGACTTAAATTTCCAATTCCGTAGCCGTTCAGCTTAATATATCCGAAACAAACATAGCTGATTGCACCTTCGAAATAAAATGCACCCAGTTTGAACGATGTAAACTCCGCTCTGAAGGATTGTTTATATCTCCCCACCCGTAGCCGCGAGAAAAACAGACCAATTTTACGAGTATAAATTCTCAATTTTTTCCCCATTTTTTAACATTCCTAGCGCTCATTGCATTTTATAAAGTCGCGACTATTCACATGGCCATTCGCTTTTATTTCCCTGGTTCGCAAAGCTCGCCTGATAAATGACAGATGCTACGGCGCAAACATATGAGCGTTACCACGCACAAAAGCATCACAACAAAGCCTTCAAAAAAAGTACGAATCTCCACACACTGCCGAGCAAAGATACACTGACACGTACCTCCAAGGTTTGACCTTTTAAAAGACGGTCTACCTTCTCCAGCGCCATCTAGAGGCCTTTTTTTCGAGTCGCTTGTGCTCAAATCTACTCCGCTATCGCCTGTACTGTACTGATCCGCCATGTTGAAAAGTGCCATGTGGAAGCGACTCCCAGGATACCTAGCGGTCGATAAGCGTAAATTCTCCAGGTTTATCTGATAAAGAAAATTTTACAGCAGGTTTCGCATTGATCGCCAACCGATTCTTAACACTAAAAAACCTGCACAAGAGCAAATTCTTTGCGTGATTAAGCTTAAGTTATCTCTAACTAAGCCAAGAAATAAATGCTACAAAAGATTTCTCGTCTTTTTCATACGTACTGACGTCAAAAAGAAAAACATTTGTGTACATACCGAGGCTTAATGGTAAAGAACATGAAAGAGTGTTTGCCTTTTGTAAACAGAAAAGTAAATACTAATTTCACTCTATAGCATATAATTGTTTTCTTTTCCTAAGCCCTGTTTTTGATCAGAGACATTTAAATGACAAAAGTTATTTTAGTGCATAATTGTTTTGCTAAAGTTGTGAAGTGGAAGATGCGAACCCAAAATGCTTTTAATTGTTCGATTGCAAAGGCGGTGAGCGTCAGTGAAAACTCAACACAAATGTCAAGAAATATAAAAAAAGCAAACAAGCACCTCTAAAATGAAATAAATACTTGGATTCCTAGAATGATTTGTCACGGCTCTCAAATTCCAAGTCGAGGTAACGAATCCACCTTAAAATCCTGTGGTTGTTGACACGGTAAATGTGGGTAGACGAGCCTCTATTGACAGTGTCAGGAACAGTGATTTGTGATTAAAAAAGATTGCTTGGGTTTCACTTGTGCGGCCCATAACTAATCCTAACCCCCTCCCATTTCCATCTAACCGCTCTCATTGAATAAATATTTGACGAGTACTAAAAAAGTAAATAGTTTTGGTATTAGAATTAAGTGAATTTCGGCGCGGAATTCTCTTAGCGATCTGAGAAAACTTGCTACAGGTCAATTCATTTTCGGGCTGGCCTGTCAAGTGCAAGACAAACACGTGTTGGGCTCAAATGTTATACGACACGAAGAGTAAACAAAGTGTGTTAAGAAGGGATTGCCACCTGAAGTGGCAGATGAATTAGTAAAGAAAAAGGGTGGAAATGGCTACACAGAGAGATCTATTATCTTTGAAGCACTTTATTTATTCATTTTTCACGCCACAAATACAAATAGGATTCATGGAAATCAGATCTTTGTGGATCACATTGAAATAAAGGCTACCGAAACTGAGAGAGAGGCTTTTTAAAAGGCCTTTGAACAAGACATTAGTTGTAAGCAAAGTAAAAAAATCGCTTGGATGAAAATGTAAATTCGATTATTTGGAGGAAATTTGAATAAATATAATCAAAGTTATTTGTATCAGTGGAGTTTCTTAAAATAGCAAAGTTATGCGTTTAACAGATCTAGATTTTCAGAACGTACTGTTTGAACGTCGATGTTTTAAAAGCGAAATTTTAAATACTTGTTGTCTTTATCTGATTTCTACACAGCTGTTAACTGTATTCAACTTTCCCTCGTTAACCGACGGAGCCGAAACGAATATTGATGAATTTAATTACATTGATTCATATCTTACCAATTAAAATCCCTTTGACAAGGAATATAGTTGTAATTATAATGATTCTCACAACGTCAAAAAAGATCTGTTCTATTTTCTCGTAAGTGCTGTAAAACCTTTCATCGGAGAATCTTTAATGGCATATATATATATATATATATACACGAAGTCTATCTACATGATTAATTTAACTGGCGTCAGCTCTTTTCAAAATAACAATAATAAGAATAATTTTTTTTCCTGCCATAAAATCACACTAAATCGCAAAACATGCTTTACTCACTCCAGTTGCTTAAATCATGACAACAACTAATCAGAGCATCAGTTTCCAACGCCACTAATAATTTACAACAAAAAATGTGAGTGCTTTGAGCTCCCGCTGGTTAGTTTGGTCGGCCTAAAACAACAATTTTCAAACTTTTTTTTATAAACATCTCCAAACAAGAATGTTTTTAAGAAATAATTTTATTAACTAGATAAATTCGGCGGCTTCAAGAATTTTTGAAGTGCCTAAAGATACTAAAAGTATAGAGCAATACTCCTTTGCAAAGAAAACATGTATTGTCACGGGCTGTCTTTAAAAACAAAGAACCAATTCATTTACTTTTTAGCTTCCTGTTTAAGCAATGGTTTTTAGATGATGAAATAAATTTATAGTGGCATGACCATTGGCACGTCTTCTTAAGTCAAATTTAAATTTGGAGTGTTAGTTACGAAAACAGAAGAACCTGAAGAAAATTGTCGAAGCGCGGACTGGCCAAAAACCCACAAAACACAAACAAAACAAAACAAACCATTAATTAACCCAGGAGCATTTGGGGAAGAAAATAAAGAAGCATGCGGAAGAGATCGGGGGAACAGTCAACCTTTCCTGTCATGCTCTGATTGCCCGCAGGTTGGCGCGTCGTTGAAATAAAAAGAACACATGATCACCCCTTGCTGTCTTGATAGAGGACTGAGCCAGAAAATTCTCGCCGGGGTAGAAGTCTCAAATCGTCAGCTGATCCTGAATTTCACTATTAAATGAAGATTGACATCGTAAGAAAATGGATTAAAATCCGATTGGTCCTTACTGTTTCTGTTGCAGGGGGCATGGGAACTAATCGGAACCATCTTGAGAAATCGACGCGTAAAGATGATATTTTCGAAATTTGTTAGACACTGGAAACAGATAATGCCTCTAATGACACTTGCGCGACCACTAGGGAGAGAAATTAGATCTCTGCTGATGCTCGTCTTCCCGGAAATGTGATGTAGGGCGGAATAACCGGCTGCCCTTAATTTGCACCTGTTCAGGTCCAAGTCTTCAGTTATTTCTGTTTCAAACAATCAAGCTAATAAGTCCTATTATTCAATCTCCAATGGCCGCTGAAAACCAGAACCACTAAATATTGAACAAATAGGACATTCACGCCAGCAAAGACCTTCATTTGGAAATCTTACAAGGCCAAGCATAACTTGAGGTTTGCATGTCACGTTTTAAATTACAGTGTTTCCGCACGAAGTGTAATGTAGCTTTATTCAATGCAATCTGATTGGATTATTGAAGTTTCATTCGCTGTTATTAGCCAGATGACTTGCTTTGTTTAACAGTCACCAGCCCCTTAGAAATCAAGTTCATCTTTTCAATAAAATTACCAGTAAAAGAATGAAGTTTAAGTGAACTTCAAATCATCGTAGATGGGGTTGTTCCAATGTGTATGAGCCCATAACTCCCAAAATCTCATTAGTAATTCTCCTTTCCGTCTGCCATACAATTCTTGTGATGTTAGTTTGGAGAATTTGGTATTGGATCATCTTATAATCCCCTAATTGATATTTTTCTTTATTCTCATCACTTGTCTGCTTGATATTGTATTAATATTGTAAGGAGAAATTCTGTCTTGGTCACTCATAGGAGTGTAACCAATGGGGTAAGATAACTAACCCTGAAGGTGTGTTGTTTTCAACTTTATGACGAGGAGGGCTTTGAGTGTTACGGCTTGCCAGTTTTGATCATTTAATTTATGATCGGTTTTCACTCATTCCACAAATGTTTTTTTCAACCGCGCTATTTTCAGTCTTCTCTTTTTGGACATAGCTTCAGTCATTGCAGTTTTTCGGTTCTATAGTCAATCGCCTGTCTGTCGCTAAGATCCTCTCTTTTTTCAATGACCCCGATTTGCATCATTGTTCTCCACGGTTTTTCAGTTTGGGGAAATTTTCGCTTTCGATGGAAATTTGGGCTAGTTTCCCAGTTGCTGATGCCATTCGCGATAACCAGAGATAAGGAAGTCAGATGTGAAAAAAAAAAAAATTTCAAACACGCAACAGCAAACGATAACAAGAGGCAGTATTTTTTGTCTTTTATTTTGAGGAATCGTGTGCTTTTGCGAAGACGCCTGTTCCCTCTTTCTTAGCTCCTCTCTCGAGGAATCTTATGTAAATAAATCTGGTAGCCCAAGACAAAGACGTCTTTCATAAAAAGAAGACAAAAGCAAAACACTAAAAACAGCAACATTTCACCATACGAATCCCAATTCCCTCTAATGAAACCTAACGCATGACCGTTGATGGCAATTTGTTAAACCTTTCACTCCCTAGATCTCATTAGTAATTCTCCTTACTGTCTGCCATACAGTTCTAGTGATGTTGGTTTGGAGAATGTGGTATTGGATCAACTTCTATTCCCCTAATTTCTATTTTTCTTTATTCTCATCACTTGTCTGCTTGATATTGTATTGACATTGTAAAGAGAAATTGTGTCTTGGTCACTCATGGGAGTTAAAGGGTTAACTCTTCAGTTCCCAAGATCTGAATATTGATTCTCCCCTCGAGCTACTTCACATTTCCTTGCAAATAAGTTGTGAGAATTTGTTGTTAGATAAAGATAACAACCTCTCTCTGATAACTTAGAGTATTCTCATTACCTGTTTGCTGGATAATGTATTGATATTATAGGGAGAACTTAAAGTTTGATCACTTTCTGGGAGTTGCAGGGTTAAGAAACACTTACCTTACCAATAACTAACAAGCTCTAGTGTAGCACTTGAACAGTAACCTAACTAACTTCAACTAATTCATTTAAAAAAAAGCTTAGTAATTTTAAGTATTTTCTTAAATCTTTTCCCTTATATTGGAGGCAGGGTAAACCAACACATTAAATTCACCATCCGTATTTGTACTTGAAGTTTAACTTGAGCAGATATTTGATATTAATTTGACCAACATCGTACACGATATATCTGACATCACGTTAAGGATCGTGACATGGACATCATAGAAAGGAAAGTATCTCCATCTTTCTTTATGAAGAGGCTCAAGACATGATGAAAGACTTGAAATCTGCTTGACATTTCAATTTTCCCTGATTTGTTTCAAATGTGTCAGTTTTCTCTGACTCGAAGTGAAATTTCCTGAATTTTCCTGACCTTGAAAATTTTATTTTTCCCTGACTTTTACCTAACCTGTGGCAACCATGAGCAATTGAATGTAGAATGTAAACGTGGATTGCATTGTTTTCTCCTATTTCGCTCAGTGATTGGTCCATATAACTCGTACCATCCTCTCAATCAATCACATGCAAAACGAAAACCAAAGGCGACTGGGTCAGTCTCTTTTTATTTTTTTTTTGGCTTTGCGCCACTCAATCCAAATAGCTCTAATTCCAATTTTTACCTTGAAGATAAAAGGATACTCATTGTAGAGGAGGCTGGAGTCGTTAAAACTTGTGTTACATCCTTTGCCAACAGGAACAATCGTGCCATCCTCTAAGGTGACGTCCGCAGAAGGGTCTGGTCCAGTCTTACCGCAGCCTGAAAATAAAATGTTCCTGTTTTCTGCGGTGAACGTTTCAACGACTTAGGAAGGATCTATTTCTCCACCAGAAGCCTGTATTATCCCGTTTGGCCAGAAGAAAGAGAACGTCGAACTTAAACGGGTCCACCGCAATTGTAACTGGTGCAAACTTCTCGATCAGTGTCAAGCGCGGAATAAGATGCATGCAACGTTAAGAGCGGGAAAAGACGCAGCCGGCGTCAACCGCGTAAGAGGATGCAAGTTGGTTCAAACGCGGGAAAAAAATAGAACCAGCGTCAACCGCGAAAGAGGATGCAAGTTGGTTCAAGCGCGGGGAAAAAGGAACCGGACAAAGAGCGATAAAGAATGCAACTTTGGTCAAATACGGGAAAGACTGAACCGGCGTTAAGCCCGGGAGAGGATGCAAGTCGGGTCTGGCGCGGGAAAAGACAGAACGCCATTGAGCGCGGAAAATGATGCAAGTATTTTCCAGCGTGGGAAAAGACGCAACCGGCGCCACGCGCAGGAAAAGATGCAAGAAGCTTAAACCAGTGAAAAAGACACAACCAGTTTCGAGCTAAAAGGAGGTAAGTGAAGTAAAGCGCGGGAAAAGATGCAACAGGTGCTAAACAAGAAAAATGCACACAGAGTCCGGCGCGGAAAAACAAACAACCATTGCTATGGGCTGGCAAGCAGCCCGAGAAACGATGCCACCCGTTCCACGCAAAACTTACGATAAGCACAAGATAAAGGCTCCGTTAAGAACGAGAATGGAGTTCGACAAAGTAGACGTTGCGTTTCAACGAATGGGCATGCAGCTAAACGTTTTGTATTCATGAAGCTAGTAGGCGGAAAATGTCCTTCTTGTTTGTGATAAAAAAAAAGAACAAAAAAAAAAGAAGAACAAAAACTGTTCGGGGCAAATGTGCCAGTGGATTTCACGAACCTTTAACGCTGTGCTTCCCTTTTGGAGGTTTTGATATGTAGCTTGCCCCAGTTAATTCGTGCCTGTGGGTGAGAAGATAATGTTTTATTTCAACAAAATGCTTAGATTCTTTTCTCTACATTTCTCAATACCGTTAGTATTATTGGAAACTTACATATTTCCTAAAGCAACCTCGCACAGCATCATTAGGCCAATGTTGTCAGAGGGCGTGGCTCGACAGTAGTTTGCTGACTGGAGAAAGTAAGAAAGCAACAATACAAATATATCGTCAAGAGCCGAAAGTAGAACTCGCGAATATCTTATTTCACTCTACCATGCACCTTCTAGTACAATCTATGATTCTTGCATGACTTAATGCGCTGAAATCGAAACACGGTGAGTGTGTTTCACCCTCGTAGAACCGAAAAACTGATTTCCACGCTTTAAAAACCAGTTAGTTTTTCTTTCAAAAGAAGGCAGAGTTTTAAAATTAGTTAACGATACGTACAGGTCTATGCGTCTCTACCTCTCTAGGTCTTTACCAAAGGGCATGGCAGTTCTTTGATCAATCTTATTCAACTGAACGCTTTGAAATATAACGAATTATAAAGCTGCTGTTTTTTTCCGACCAAGTAGTAACTGGAATTTTTTTATCCATAATCATCTCGGCTGTTTCTGAAGGAATCCATACATTCCCGATTGCTGCGTGGTAAACCGACATACCCCAGAAACTATTAGTTCGAGTTTGAGCGATTTGTGGTTTACGGTGATCGATTTTGAAACGTCAACTAACGAGAAATTAATGTGTAAATAATTAGTCATAATTCTTTCTCACAAATGCACTTACCTTGGACACCATATCTGTCAATAAAAGAAAGAACCGGAAAAGACTTTGTTACTTTGTGATACCTTGAAACAGTCGTATACTAACTGTGCTACATGCTTACATTAAAAAGAAAAAAATAAAATAAACGAGACCACGAAAAACAATCTAAAAAGAAACAGAAACAGACAAATTGAGATCATGCAGCTACAAGAAATTCTCCATAAATTAAAATTTGCGGTTTTTCTATAAATTTTGAAATTCTGTCTCGTAGTCATAACTGTTTTCTTATTCGTCAAGGCAAAAAGATAAAGCAAGCTCTCCCAGCATCTATCAAAACAACCTATTTTAAAAAAAAAAACATAACGCAGATAACACGATAACAAGTTTGAGACATACCAGCAAAGTAAACGCCTTTCCCAAACATATAACCTGTCTGAAAACGTCGAGAAAATATGACATATTATTACCAAGATCTCAGTTGAATAATCAATCTCAACATTTCTCAAATTTTAAGCCAGCTGCGGAGCAAATGGAACCCACAAGAAACTCACCACTGGGGCCTCAGGTGGAGCGATCCTGAGCCCTTGAGATAAAATGCCAGCGTAGTTTGTGTTGCGAGACCCGTGCCACAACAAGCGGCGATTGTGTAGTTCCTTGAAAGGCTGGAATCGTTCCTTCTCGCCATGACGATTTACCTTGAAAACCTGATGGAAAAAACAAATTTTCCACCTCATATTTCACTTCAAAAAAATTCAACATTTTTCCTTGAACGCCGAGCTTGAGAGATTTTTAACACGATTTGCATATCCGTTTTTTTGTCATTTTCAAAGGCTCAGGAATAGTTCTTATACGTTCTCAAACTTCCCCTTTTTAAGCTTAAATTAAGGATTAACCCTTCTTCTTCAAAAACCCGTTCTTGGGTTTCTCAATTTTTGCCTCTGGCAATTGAAAAACCGAATTTTATGAACGCTGCTGAGCTAGTTTCGGCCCTTTCTTCTCTAATTATGGGCTTTTCAAGGCGCGAGTGCATTCAAATCTCCCGCTTCAGTGATGATGAATAATTAATGATGTCCAGGCATTCTACGCGATGTAGAAAAACTCAACCCGTTGAATTTTGTCAGTAGCAATCCGTAAACTGAATTATCCTCACGTCGCTTTTTGAAGGAGCGCCGTTTAATTTAACCTGTCTCTTCTCCTTTTCTTTGACACATATTAAAGGTGGTTTCGAACAATTACAAGCTCTTTAAATGAACGAAACAACAAACAAATGTACTATATGTATAGTCGGTTTTTCACTATAGCGCATGAAAAATGCAATTAAAACGAAGTGAACATTATCTTACCTCAAGTATTTCAAGTTCGTACTGTTGGTGTGTCTCAGCATGAGTATTTTTGACGTACTCGTCAATCAAAGAAAACTCCTTACCATCTTTAGATAGAACCTTTAAAAAATAACAAAAAGCCAAACATTTCGATTTACCCTTTAAAATAAGGCGACTCGGGGAACAGATCAAATGAATATAGTTTTGTTGCATGACAGAATTACCTAATGTAAAGCGACTAATTTGCAGCCCTCCTCAAACCGGCGTTACAATTAGCCTGTGAAGTCCGCGATTTAGAGAACTCTTTGGAGCGTTTTTCTTGGCGGAGCTGCCGAGGGATTGGGACGGAAAATATTGACCTCCGCTACACGTGTTAGCAGCTGCACTGACTTCATCGTCATCGATCGCCCAAATTAACCCCCCATACGGACTAACAATGAATGGCAAGTGAGGAATTATAATTTGCTTATCTACACAAAGCCAAGAACTGAAGACCTTGAGTTTAAGAGTTACGAAAATCATGCTCAAGGTGCTGGTTAGGGTGTTGGTATGGGGGATAGCCGAAATCCGTGAAACCCGGATAAACCTCGCAGCAAAAACGAGAAACAACGGCTTGAATAAACTTAACCACATGTGACATCAGTACTGAGAAGAGAACCCAGAGGTCACAGCGCGGTGTGATTGCTCAAAAATATATTAATGATATTTGAAATAACTTTTTCACCTCCAAATCAGTTTTTAATTTTTCATAATTGACGTCCAAAGGATCCTTGGCCAAGTCCTCATCACCACTCTTTAACAGACTGTAAGCCACCTCAATATCGAGTAAGTTATCTAACATTCCCACTTTAGCCTTCAGCAAAATAAAAGAAACAACAGTCAGAGCTAACATGAGGGAGACTGGAACACAGTTTTGCCATTCGCTAAAACGCTCAAATCGTCCAGGTGAGTGTGGTCCTGAAAAGGACTCCTTGCGGGAATAGTTACTGAGGTTTCGAACATCTGATCGGAAGTTATTATCAGAGTCAAGTTGAGATTTTTTAACAGTGGAATGTTACAAGACTGATTCGGAGGAGCTGATTGGCTTTTTTTTTTTTACCGCGGTGGTATTAGTCAGTCGAGAATGGTGCCTCATGCGACACTTTACAATTCTGTAGAGAAATTGTGTCCCTTCTCAAAATCATCAGTGCACGAGGCAAAAGCAAAATTTATTAACACCCTTCCCCCAATCAATGCCATCTCACAAGTTACCTCTTTAATTCCCTGCAACAAGGGCTTTTGAAAAAACAGCGAGTTAAAGAAAGCAAATATGAAAAAGCTACGGCTTTGGGCATTCTCCAAGAGTGTGTTAAACTTCTTTGTTAAAAAGTGCTTGGTTCATCTTCTCACACAGGCTGAGACATTTCTGTCATTCCCCAGGGTGGAAGGAAAATCTCAAACATGCGCATCCAATTTTACCTGAATTAGTTCCAAGTTGTCTAAGAGAGGGGGTTTCTTCATACCAAAGTCATGCGGGATCAGGGTATAGAATCTATTTGACGCATCCAGAAGAGAATTGCTGCTACTTCCGTCTGAAATTAACTGGCACGAGATAATCAAAAGATTGTTAGTAAGCAAAACCAAATACTCCATTGAAAGCAACATGCTGTAATTTGCACTGGAGAAGAACAAGCTTAATCGTCAAATATCGCTCAAACTTTTCAAACACAAGAAATGTCATCCTAAACGTCAAAAGGCAAAATTCAAACATTGAAGTTGTGAGCAACTGAAAGTGAGCCACGTCATAATGATTTGAGTTGTGTTGTAGACGTTGAAATTGCCTTTAATGGAAGGAAAACTTGAAAGCCTAAGGAAGTTACTGTCTAAGGAGAGAAAACTCTCTTGAAGTGAGACTAAACAGAAACTGAATGATTATGTCAAGGTTTTAGTAGATTTCAGAGAATTTTAAACGGTGAACTTGAATGTTTTCTTTCATTTTTCAAGTCAATCTGCTTCTTTGCATCTCGGCACTATCAGCGACAATTATTCAGTTATTGATGGTATACACGTTCACAAAAACACTAGAGAATATATCACTTACTTTCTGCGCCTCCCCCAGAACAGAATACGCACTTTCAATCTGTCGTCTTGTTAGTTTTCCCAATGGCATTTTCTTCAAATCGATCTGAAAGAAAGATAAAAGAACACGTCCATGTTCTATATGTTTCTCACTGCTTTCAAAGCATTCGTCTTAGTTCATCTTGGTGCTCACAGCAGTCCCAACGGAAAAAAAAGAGTTCCTACTACAATTAAAATTCCCACTCACTTCAAACTCAACCAGCGTCTTCTTCATGGATTCAACATCGAATATCATTTTAATAAGTTCTTGGACAGGCATAGGTAGCAAGGATTTACTTCCGGCTGCAATGGTTGTCTTTAACTCTTCGTCATCCTGTACAAAAAGGGTAAATAAGTATACAAACCTTAAAAAAGTCCACCATAACTACAAATACGTATTTGCACCCACTACACACATACTAATCTCGTACCCAAATCTCTCTCGTAGGCGCAGCCGAAAAGGGAGATCTGGGCACCGGTTTACACACGTACCTGTCCATAGTCAATTTCCAATGGGTAGAACTTATTTGGGTGTTTGACAAAATTCTTTCTATTCAGCCAACTGTTTCCTGCAGGTTACACAGAGACAACACAACAGAGCAATTTTTCATGTTAATATTTCAATATATAGACATGTGGAGAAAAGTTGAATGAGAAGTATACCTGTTTTTTCAGCATAGAGTTCCATGAATTTTTCGATGGCTGACCTTGGAGATCCGCAACGCTAAAAAACACAAACAGTTTCCATTTTCAGTGGAAGAAACAATATCAGTAAATTTGATTGGCTTGCGACATTAACTGTTCTCAAGATTTTGAAATTGTTACTCTAATTTTTTTTTATATTCATTCAGTGAGATTTATTTGGGATACGGAGAATAATAATGAAGAATTTGCATGTTAGGAATCAAACAGACCGAGAAACAAAGTGGAATAAAAAAAAAAGTTGTGATAGAATTGTTTGGACACAGCATATTGACTGGATTGCTGAGAAGTTCTGCAACCCGCTTGTTTCAGAATCATACCGCAAAAAAATCTAGGATTTTTTTTTTGCGCTTAGTCTAGGAGCTGAGCGTCTTTCGATTTGTAAGGGAATCGACTTCATCTTGTAAAAGAAAAAAACCCAACTTGAAAGTTAACGATCTTAAAGCGGCCTGTAAGTTACTGCAAGTTCTAGCAAGATATTTGCCTGACTCACAACGCGATTTTTTCTGAGAAGAAACATGTTTTGTTGTAAGGAAAATTCAAAGAGTTCAGACACTTAGTGGCGAACTCCTTGTGTTTCCTGGTGCCCATACTTCATGGAAGGGCTCGAACGTAACAAAAGCCTCGCGGAAGACAGCATCTTCACTCCAGACTAGTGACAAATGTTACACATATTTCTTTAGGGTTTGGCTTCTTAATAGTTACAAAAGTACCTCTAATTTGTTTCCCCCGATAGTTGTTCCAACTCTTCCCCATGATCGAAAAATATGACAACTGTAACATTCAAAGAGATAAGAAAGCACGTTTAACGAATAGAATCCATTTTGGTGTGCGTCTGTTCAGTGACAGACCACAAATGACGTCAAAATGAAAATTAACTAGCCAATCTAAACAATAAAATAAATGAGGTATACATACGCTTTTCCGTTGTCAGCTTGTAAAATTTGCAATTTGTAGTAAGAGTTTGTTCCTCTGACAATGTCCACTAAGCCGAGGGTGGCACTGTAAATGTTTCCTTTCTCCTCTAGCACATGACACGTATCCTCCATCTCTGAAACACAGAAATCAAAACATTTCCACGACGTATTTCACAGAAACACAGAAATCAAAACATTTCCACAACGTATTTCAAGCAACTTGAACTCGGAATACCTTGCAATTCTGGATCAGTATCTGGGCAACGGCCCACCTACCCCTCCCCTAACCCAACATTCACCCTAACTTGTCATCAATTGACTGTTGTTGGTTTAGGGGAGGGGTGGGTGGGCAGTTGCCCAGATACTGATATTGATCCGCAATTCTCATCATCTTGAACTCGAGGTCACTTTATCGGGAGTGAATTGTCGGTGATTCGGAAATTGTTGTACACAGGTATGTTGTCAAAATTTGTTATGACAAGGACCGCATGTAAAGTTTACAAAAGCTACACAGCAGCAAACCACTCCTTACTTGACATTCAGTGTAAATACACGGAATGCGAGAGGGACCGCATTATGATACTTACACGGAGGCTGGAAGACTTGGTGTTACGAATATCCAAAGGTTAATTAATTTCAAGAACTTATGTCCAAATTAAGCTTCCACCCTCACACTCCCAAGATTGACCCACACGTAATTTCTCCTTACCACTCCCATACATTTGCCGAGAATAGAGTGGTGAGAATAAAGAAAAATATTTACTAGGGGAGGATTTATTGATCTAACACCAAAATCTCGAGGCTAAAATTGTAAGAAATTTATGGTGGACAGGAAGGAGAATTGATACTAGGATCTAAGGCGGGAGAGGGGGGAGGGGAACCAAGTCTGGAAGGAGGGAAAGTGGTAAGCTTGACACAAGGGTGTGGCCGGGGATGTCTTTAGTGGAGTGAAAGGAGATGGTCCGAGCCAGAGATAAGTGGGGAACAATTTCACGCAACCCCTGGGAAAAGGACGTGCGAAAGATCAGCTTTAGGGAGACGCCAGAGATGATGATGATGATGACAGTGAGTGATGCTGATTACCTGACTCTGGGTCTACTGCTGCTCCACCTTTGACGGCAACCTTCATCTTCTTGGCAGCACCACCACCTGATAAATTTTAGTTAAAAGAATTCAAAATGACAGGCGATATCAAATGAAGCCCTGGTTGAAATCGAGCTATGTTGTTGTAAAGATGTGGGGAATTATACACAGTGGTAAAACGTCAGCGCATGTGCGAACGTTATAATGACTTTGAGGCCTGCTTTCAAGTCATCAGAACCAAGTTGTCTCACACCAATTACAAATAACCACACAGATCGGTAATTTAAGGTGACGACTGCTCTAATCTAACCCAAATAATAAATCACTCTAAGCCTTAAAGAGAATGGATCCAAGCTTTATCTTGCATTATTCAGAAATTGTTGTAGTTGCACTGTTGCACAGTTGCACTAACAGTGAAAATTTGTAAAATGATCATTACCTTCTGAAGCACTTTTCTTTATCTTTGATTTGGCTTCTGATGGAGGAGGAGAACCATCAACCATACTTTTACCCTAGAAAACAAATCAGATGAGGAATAAGATGGAGACATAGATAAAAAAAATAAATAAATGGTTCAAATAAATAAATGAATTGATAAAGAGGATTTCAATAGCGATGCCTCCATGTTGTGGCTCTTAGTTCATCATTCCAGGTACCAATTGGAATTTGCAGTATTGGTTTTTGTGGTGGAAAGAAAATTAAAGAAAGAAGAGAAAATATAAAACTAGAAAAAATGTGAACCATAGCTTAAGAACACAATTTTAAAAGGTGAAATTAAAAGCAGAACAAAAACCTTTGTCAGCCATTGATTTCCTAAAAATTTACTAGTTTTTAGCAAGGCAGATTTAACAAACTAGTTTAAGATAAACGACAAACTAATATTACCATGAGATCAATTTTAGACTACAGCAAACCTTTTTATCTCCCCATGGTACAATACTGTGTTGTGTGATCATCAGCTTAGCCCCTCCCTTTTTGACAGCATCCAAATATTTTTCACTGACAACTGGCACATTATACTTCTCAGCATCTTTCATCTTTTTACTCTTCTTATCCACCTCAGCTGCAAGAACACAGATTGCATGCATCAAAGCCTTCAATAGCCTGCAAGCAGTACTACATAGTTAATGCTTCTGCACTGTCAAGTATTTGTTCACCAGTGGGAAATATGAGGTCTTGATCAAGGTGAGTTGGTCTGCTAGGGGTCTAGCACTGATAGTGCCAGACCTCCAGCAAATTTCTCCTTAACTTGTCTCAAATCTTCCTACAAGCAGAGGAATGTGCTTGCTGAATTACTGATAATGAGTGAGAGCATTCTTGCAGGTTACACCTTCAAGTTGCACCCTGTTAGCAAAATTGTGCCTCTAGAGAATAACTATCTTGCTGACCTTGAAAATGTCTTCTTCGTAATGAAATGATGCCGGTAACATTGCAGAGTCAAATTTTCAGCACTGTAATTTTTTACCTTGAGTGCTAATACAGCAATCCGAAAGGGCATTAACCTTCTCCACCACTGATCCTCCCAGGTCCTGTACTGTCTTAGTGATTTTCTCCTAAAAAAAGTGTGTTACAAATAATTGTCAGTGTATTAATATATGCATGTACCTTTATCCCTGAAGTATGAACCAAGTGGCATCAAAAGTCAAACAGTTAGACACTCATCACGTACCTTGCTTTGTTGAAGTCTGCCAATTAAAACGAATTTCATATTGGAAAGTGGTTTATCAGATGCTGCTGCAGAAAGTGGAGAAGCCCTGCAATATGATAAAATGGCACCAGTATCAATTGATTTACCCTTGAAATCAGCTATCAAGTTAATTGACCTTCAGTATAAGGCTAAGTCATTGGTTCTATACTAGCTGGCTGTTAACTACTAGATGTTTATCCCAAGATGATAAACCCCACCACTTTCTACAATAACCATTACCCCTCGGATTTTGTCAGTTCTCTCATACCCTCTTCCACTCCTGGAGAGTGGAGAGAGAGGTACTGTGAAAGTAAGGCATCTTGCCCAAGCCCACGATGCAATGATCCAGCTGGGGTTTAGGAACCACACCTATTCACCCCAAGTACAGTGCACTGACAGTAAAGCCACAGAATCTCCAACCTCCAAGATGAGGGGGGGGGAGGGGGGCCCACAGAAGAACAGAATGGTGAGAAAGAAAATCTTCGAAATGAAAGGATAAACAAAGTAAGACAGTGACCTGTTAGGGATGTGGGAGATTGATATTCACTGGATTGGCAGGGGTCTCAATGACTTTTTCCACAAGTGGCTGCTGATAGTGCAATAGGCAGCTGTGCCATACGGTGAAACCCAAACACAAGAGCCAGTGCTTGCATATGGTGGTGAAAGGTGTTACAGGCAGCAATAGATGGCTGTTTACTGGGTTTTTTTAAACCCCTGGATAAAGTCATGCTGAATTCACTAGGATGCACAAATCTTGACTTACACCTGGATCCTTTGAGAATTTTTGAGCACAGTGATACAAAAGCTGAGTGACAAAATGTTGTGAATTAAAGTAACACTGAAAAGGGTTGCTAAGACCTAGGCCAGTTCCTCAAAGGTCGTTGTAACTTACAGGCCCATAGAGCTCCTCTGTTTTTATTCAAGATAGGGGTTTCAAAAGTTTTGAAAATCACAAAATAAAACTATCAGCTCAAGAAACAAAAGTTTTGAAAATCACAAAATAAAACTATCAGCTCAAGAAACAAGATGGACAGGTTAGAGTGCTATAACCTGCTTCTCTATTCATGAAATTTTGATCTTGAAATATGGCTTTGGGCCAGATAAGTTACTGGGAAGTTTGAGAAATGGGCCCCAAGAGACTCACATTGAAGGAGACAACTCTGATTTGATTACTGCTTTGGATGGCGTAACAGCAGGAGCAGTGGGTACTTTAGGAAAGATCCTTTCTCTCTTCTTGCATTTGAAGTTTTTCCTAAAAAAAAAAATCAATTGAAGAGTTAGAATTTACCTCTGATGGTAAATGTAACACTTGTGTTCCCATAAAAGTTCCGCTCAATAATGAATTAAAGTTATTGAAACAACAACCATTGCACTCACAAAAAGTCTGATTCTTCCTTTAATTCTTTTGAAATAGTCCACTTTTCTCTCTTGGGTTGTTTTGTTACAAAGGTGCATTTGGTCCAGCCAGTTAAATTTCCTGTACAACAATATCCTTCTGTCCTAAAAAGACAAATAGAAACAAAATAAATATTAAACAAAAAAAGTGATAGGGTCATGAGATGTGTTTTGAAATAAATTGCACAAATTTTTTATATCACTGAAAGTAGCTTATTTGTTACATCTAACAAAAAATGTGTTTGCTGTATTACAACAAAAAAGCCAACCTCTAAAATCTAACAT